GCCCTGCCGGCACCTGCCGCTCCCCGGGGGGCTCGGGCGCCGGCCCAGGCCCCGCGGCGCTGGCGGCCTCCATTGCTGCTGCCTCGCTCCCAGCAGCCCCTGCGGCCGCGGCCTCGCTCCCAGCAGCCTCTGCTCCCTTGGCCTCAGACTGGGCCCCATTCCCAGCATCCTCTGCGGCACTGGTCTTGGCCTCACTCCCAGCATCCTTTGCGTCCTGGGCCTTGCTCCCAGCATCCTCTGCTCCCTTGGCCTGGGCCTCACTCCCAGCATCCTTTGCATCCTGGGCCTCACTCCCAGCATCCTCTGTGTCCTGGGCCTCACTCCCAGCATCCTCTGTGTCCTGGGCCTCACTCCCAGCATCCTCTGGGGCCCTGGTCTTGACCTCACTCCCAGCATCCTCTGCGTCCTGGGCCTCGCTCCCAGCATCCTCTGCTGCCTCAGCTTGGGCGTTGCTCCCAGCATCCTCTGCTCCCAAGGCCTCGCTCCCAGCATCCTTTGCTTCCTTGGTGCCACCACTCCCAGCATGCCCTGCTCCCTGGGCCTCGCTCCCAGCATGCCCTGCTCCCTGGGCCTGGGCCTGGGCCTCGCTCCCAGCATCCTTTGCTCCCTGGGCCTCGCTCCCAGCATCCTTTGCTGCTTCGGCCTCGCTCCCAGCATGCCCCTCTCCCTGGGGGGCAGCCGTGGGGCGCCCCACGTCGCCGCCCTCCTGGGCCGTGGGGCGGGCGGGGGGCTGGGCGGCTCCCTCGGTCTCCATGGCCTCGGTGGTGGCTCTGGGGGACGAGGGCACCCGCGGGGCGGGTCACGGGGGGCACAGCCCCATGGCCCCCGGCCCCCACTGCTCCCCATGGTGGCCTCAGCCCCACGGTTCCCGCCCCACATGCTGCCCCACGGCAGCCCCTGCCCCACAGTCCCCAGCCCTGACCCCCATGGCAGACCCTGCCCCAGCCCCACAACTGCACCCCCACTCCATCTCCGCCCCCCGCCCCACACAGTGCCCCAGCCCCACACCCCCCGATGCCCCCAGCCCCACAGGGTGCCCCCCAGAGCCCGGCCCCGCTCACGGGCGCTGGTGCCGCGCGGTGCCGCCGGCGCTGCCTATTTTTACCCGCAGCAACAGGTGCCCCTTTCATTCAGGCCGGGGGGCCGGGCTGGGGGCGGGAAGGCGTGGGGACACGGGGACAATGGGACGGGGACACGGGGACGGGCAGGAGGACATGGGGACGGGGACAGACATGGGGACATGGGGACAGGGACATGGGGACAGGCAGGAGGACATGGGGACGGGGATAGACATGTGGACAATGGGACGGGGACACGGGGACGGATAGAAGGACATGGGGACGGGGACACAATATAGGGACATGGGGATGGACAGGAGGACATGGGGACGGAGATGGACGTGGGGACATGGGGATGGGCACAGGGACGGACATGAGGACATCGGGACAGGGACAGATATAGGGACATGGGAACAGGGACATGGGGACGGAGAGGAGGACATGGGGACAGGGACGGATGTGGGAACATGGGGATGGGGACAGGGACATGGGGATGGGGACAGACATGAGGACATGGGGATGGGGACATGGGGACATGGGGACGGACATGGAGACGTGGATGGGGACACGTCAAGGGCAGGGGTGCAGGACGCCGAGGGGACACTGGGGACATGGGGGGGCACGGGGACGCGAGGGCACCAGGGCCCCAGCGTATGGGGAGGCAGAGGGGACACGGACACCGGGGCAGGGACACGAGTGACACCCCAGGACACGGACACGGGGGGACGCGGGGGACATGAGGGCACGGGGGGCGCGCGGACAGGGCCAGGGGGCCGGGGGGGACACGGGGACCCCTGGGGAGGAGCGAGGGGACAAGGGGGACATGGGGGCACATGGGGGACAAGGACCCTCCCGGACAGAGCAGGGGGGGACGTGGAGGGGACACGGCGGGACAGGGACCCCCTGAACGGGGCCGTGGGGACACGAGGGGACACGGGGACCCC